TGGCTTCCTGTGAAGGTGCTAAACAGACATGTGACAGGCTTCAAATTCATTAAAAAAACAATGGAGCTTTCGCGACAGTAGCTTGCCTGCAAGCCAACAAAGTGTTTTTTAAACAAGTTACCCCCCAAGCTTACATAGATTAGACTTTTCTCTCTTACTGTTTCATAAACCTGGAGACTTGAACATGTTCCAGAGGAAACTTGCAACACCACTTGCAAAACTTGCCAGCAGCACTGCTGTCTGTGGCTTGGCTCAGTATGCTGAACTAGGATATACCCCAGAATCACCAAGTCTGTCCTTCTGCCTTCAGGCAGGCTCTTTTATACCTTACAGGTTCATCTGTGCAGTTGCTCCAGATGGCTCAGGTAGGGTGAGCCAAGCTGCTGTTGAAGGCATCCCTCAAAACAATCAGGGTCACTAGCCAATCTGACCTGAGGGAAATTCCTTCCAGCCCTACATATTTGTTGTTGACAATGTTGACATTGGTAAGCAGCTGGATTCTGTGAATAGCCCTTTTCAGTCTCTTTTTTTAAAACCTTGTTGGTATATCAAGGTGGGTAGTAGTCGTGTTGGTCTGAAGCAACAGAACAAAGTTAGAGTCCAACAAAGTTTTATTCAAGGTGTGAGCTTTTGTGTGTATGCATACTTTGTCAGATGATGAAATGGAATTACATATCATAGTTGTATATACAGAAGTGTTTTGTTAAAGTTGCGTGCAAAATAGTGAGGACAAGGAAAACACTCTATACAGCCAAGATGCTGTAAAATTCACCTCCATGCTTGAAGAGAGATGGATGGGGCCTAAGGATGGGATTCTCACAAATTGGAACACATCAATCTCCAGTTCTGACATATTTATTACCTATGTTTTTTCCTCCCAGTTGAGCCGAAGCAGGTGATAACCAGGAATTAAGGTTGTCATTCTTTTGATCTGGTAAAAAATGTGTCCTCACCATTTTGCATGCTAATTTAACAAACTATATATATACAACTATGGTACATAATTCCATTTCATCATCTGACAAAGTGTGCATGCACATGAAAGCTCACACCTTGAATAAAACTTCGTTGGTCTTAAAGGTGCCATTGGACTCTAACTGTTCTTTTGTAGGTATATGTTAATCTCAGTTTAATGATAGCCCCATATACCCTAGAGTAAGGGACTGTAGGACAAATACCCAAATTCTTGGGTCAGGATTGAATACATCCATGGGGCCACAATTAAAACATTAGGTTAAATTCATAGAGATACATGACTCGTTTGTTGAAACAACTGAAATTCTCTGCTTCCACAAATGTTCTAGTGAGGCTGATAGTTTTACACCATCAGGTCTCCAGCTGACATTTATAAATGACCAGCTTCATGTCATTAGGTCATGTGAATATGTGAAGCCGTCAAGGTCAGTGATGTCTGCTCTGACCAGCAGCAGTTCTGTGCGGTTTTGGATCAAGGTCTTCAGCATCATCTGCTATGTGATCCTTGATGCTGGAGATGGAATTTGGCACCTTCTGCATGCAAACAGGTGTTCTACCATCGAGCCATGTCCCCCTCCAGATCTTGTAATCCAGCATTGTCTTCAGGTTCAGAATGGATCGGAGTCACTTTGTGACCTTTACTTGTAATGTCAAGCATCAGGCAATGAGTTTATAATTTTTTTTAAGACACCACCTTTAGTGCAAACAGTGTATGAAGGAGGTTTATACACTGTTCCAGCAAGCAGCCCTTGGGCTTGGTTAGCAACGCCATAACGCTTCTTCAAGGGTTGTAGAGAATTCTAATCGGAGCCAATGTACTTATGATTCAGAACTGCTGAGTCACTAGCAACCAAGCCGTTTACGGGGATTTTAAAAAGTCAATAATTTCTCAGCTTACGATAAGGAAACATGTGACAGTGGCTTTTGTAATGTCTTAAAGCTCCAGTTTCTCAGGAAGAAAACCATTAAAACACAAACTTCTTGGACTGAGTACAAAGAACATAGCTGTTCGAAAAAGGGCAGCCCGCCTGAGAAGATGTGAAAGTATTTTATTTCCTGATTTTTTGTTCAGCCTTGTTTGTTCGTTTTGAATTGCAGTTACTAACTGGCTTACTAAATATTTGCTTTCTTTTATGGCCGAGGAGTGACTCCATAGGTTTGTAGTTAAGCATTAAAGCACATTTCCAAGGCAATCAACTGTTGCAAAGCCGTGACAGTCAAAGAGCAAAGGGCAGGGTTCTGTTGGCTGGCATACCTCCGAGGTGGGGCTCAAAGCATAATGGACTTCCTACAGGTGGCCACTTAGGTCAGGATTGCAGAAAGGTAAATGACAACACTTGGCAAGTATGTCTGTCACTCTGGTGTAGTGGTTGGAGTGTTGGTTTAGGATATGGGAGACCCAGGTTCAGGTGCCATGAAACTCACTGGCTGACCTCTTGGACCCTGCATTCTCAGCCCGACCCCTCTCAAAATGTCATGATGGGGTTACAATAGGACTGAACCAGGTATGCCTCCTCCGTGAGCTTCTTGGAGGAAGCATTTATAGATCCGCTGAGAAGAGCTCTAAATATGCAGTGTACTTTTTACTTTTTGATAGTATTTACTGGATTGCTCTATGGTAAGTCCGGAGCGGTTAGGGTATGCACTGCCCAGCAATTGTCATTTTAATGCCACTAATGGAATAACATCTGAGTTGGGGGAATTAATACTATATTTTTAAAAAAATTGCAAGCGACTTGGAGAACTTCATGGTGGAAAAGCGGGATCCAAATTCCAGTAATGCAAGCACCTGCCAGGCCTGGAGCACAAAAACAGCCCTGCAGTGCTGTGAAATGCAACTTGAAGCCAAGGGCTGCAATCAGACATCACGATCACCCACACCGTTTGTAAACCATAATTTGGATGAAGTTTGGTGTGCTGTGGCATCAGAATGCAGGCCACCCAACCAGCCACAGTTTGTTGATGGGAACTAAATCTAGATTCTAAACCATGGATTGTACCTGGCTTGTTAACAAGTTGAGTGCTGTGGTGATGTGTGATTAGAGAAATCCCGGTTTCTTCAGCGGCACTGCTCCTCCAAGCCTCCAAATAGGGTGTATTAAACAGTGAGGTTTTGCTAGCATCCTGGCAACTCAAGGGAGCTTAGGATAGCCCCTGGGGATTCTGCTTGGAGGAAAGGAGGCAAGCTGCAGACTAATTAGATTTACAAACATGATATGGCCATTTACATGTGTTTGGTGCGTTAATGAGGGTTTGTGCAATGAACTTGGGGGCTCAAAGTAGCACTTTTTCCTATCTTCACCCTTTTTTATCGCTCCATCCTAGGCAATAAGCGGACGATGTTTTCTGGGTTCCAGTGTGGTGCTGAAACTCTTTGTGTTGACCCTCTTTTGCCTCGCTGCAGCATTGCAAAAACTGCAGAGAGCCCAGAAGATACAGCCTCTGTGACATTTCACAACTATGTGCAACTATGCAGACAACCCATGGATACACACTGCAGTTAGAGGGTAGCCATACATTAAGGGGAAAATATATTGCTTAGGATAGTAATGGTGGCATCATAGGGCAGCTGGTGCTCTTGGGCCCACAGTAAATAGTTATTTTAGGAGAGTGGACTTGTGGGAGGAGATTCTTCTTTAGTGTGGAGCTTTCGTACTGTTCTTGTGTAAGGGAGCAGGTATTCAAGATATTACCACCAAAATAGAAGATGTGTTGCAACTCCCAAGTGAGCAGAGTTGCTCTTCTCTGTTGCTGGCATCTATCTTCTGTGCTGTCTTTCCTGCACAGAGAGTGGAAACAACCTGAATATTGCTTATTTGCTGGTCATCGCATTTTGTGAACACAGCTGGCCTCCGAGTTACACTCACCTATGCTAGGACTGACTTAAAAATCTTCTATGTGCATAAAATCCAATAGTGTTCGGTTTGGGGATTCTTTCAAAACATCTTGGGACTAGCATTTCTTTCCTAACTTGGGCTGTAAAGCCAGGACCCTGCAAAATACATCTGATGATGGGGGAGATCTCTGCCAGTGGATTAGATGTTTCTCTAACAACAATAGCCCAGAATGCCTGCTGAAATGCTGTCCCTGGGGAAACGGGATCCTCAGGGACAGCATTGCAGGGGGAGAATAGGTAGAAATCCCCCTCCCCTTTCCTACTGTGGAAACCAAACCAATTGCTGGTAAATATTTGTTAGAATTCACAGAACCATGTCTAAGAGGGCCATTCCTTGTGGGGGGAAATGACAATAGCAGGGTGTGCATTTGATGGTCCAAGTTTTCAGCCTTAAGCTTTTAAGATTAAGACAGGGAGTCTCCAAAGGTGCATAATATAATACTGATTTGATTACTTGCCTAAATATAGTAATCCAGTCTTCAGGGTGACAGAGGCTATTGAAGTTAACTGTACCGTAAAAGCTGGGATTAAGCATTGCTGGTTTGTGATGTGTCGGCAAACAGGAGCTGTCATTTTGCACAAAAGGCACTGGGAGGATCCATGCTATTGGGGAAAGTGGGTTTGAATGGTATGCGAGTGCCTCTGAAAGACAGAGAATGCAGAGAGACTAGTTTTGAAGGCTGGAGGCAATGCTGGCCAAAGGCCTTAATTTCATCTCTCTCGGCATGGTGTGATACAAGATCAGAAGGTTAATGTCCAGAGATTGAACACTAAAGTTAGTTTTTAGTTAACTCTATTCTGGCATCCACCCACCTGAAAATCTCTCCCTCTCATGTCAGAATAAAGTTAACTAAAAAGTACAGGAGGCAATTTTCTAAATGTAAGGAGAAATTTAAACTGTTCAGTTGGATCAGCTTAGAGTGCCATGTTATCTTCCTTCGCATTTTGTCCTCAACTGCCCTGTGAAGTAGGTTCGACTGGCCTGTGACTTTCATGGCAGTGAGGATTTGAACCCATGTCCGTCCACTCCAATTCCACCACACCGGTTCTTCAGTTCTTTAATAAGATGATTACAATAGACTGTGTTTCACTGCCATGACAATGTCATATTAGTTTGTTTTTCTTTTAGATGGGGCATTCTCTTTTCTCATCCACGGGACTTCACTCCAGTCTGTACCACAGAGCTTGGCCGAGCAGCAAAGCTGGCACCGGAATTTGCCAAGCGTAACATTAAAATGATAGCCCTCTCCATAGATGACGTCAATGACCATCTCTCCTGGTGCAAGGTATTATGGGGCTGAAACGGTGGCACAGTGAACAAAAAGGGTGCCTGCCTGTTACCTGTTCTGACTGGATTCTGATCTTCTGAATCGCCAACATAACTAAAACAACAGTTTAATGGCGAGCGTTCTTAGCCTGTGCAAGGTTCTTGGTTAGGGGTGTTGAAAGAACTGGATGTGCTTTAATGCTTACAGAATGTTGTCCCTGTATAAAATTTTAGTGGAACTACTGAGTGCAGTCTGCGGCTTCTGTGGTTTTCTCCTGCATTTTGAGGCAGAACAGTGCAGGATACAATCCTTTAATGGGAGTGGCAAATGAACAACAGCACTGATTGGCTGGACTGTTCAATATCTGCCATCTTTTCTGTAGCTCCAGAAGAGAAGCTGTTCAGATCTTCTGGCAATAAAGTGATGACAGCAGCGGCTCCATTCGAACATCACACCAAACCCTGTTGGCTGCTAGCAGTAGGCTATTGAGGGCAGAGGAATTAATGGCGAACATTTACTTTAGAGAACATCCCTGCTGTGCCGCAAAGGTGGAAAGCTTGTTTAGGTGTGCAAACCATATTTAAAGAGTTGCAAGGCGGCGTGAAATATTTATTAATAAAATTATTGCCTTCAAATAAAGTCCTTACCAGCTTTATAAGTTGGTTTTAAAGTGGAGTTGAAAACCAAATGATGACTCGTTAGCATCTTTTACTTGTCATTCTGTTGAGTGTGCCTCTACAATCAGGCTGACTAGAAATGTGATTTTTCCCCCCCCCCAGTGAGTAATTCAGCAAGAGGTCACCTTGCTACAGAGCTGCATCTGCATTCCAAGCAGTATTCAATTGTCCACTATATGGAATCACACACCTTCAGAGTAATTTTCAAAACTGCATAGTCTTCATTTATGACATTTTGCTCCCCCTTTATGCAATATACCTTGGCACAGTTAAGTTCAGTAGGTAGACAGACTCTGTCTGTGGTCCTGTTACGCATTGTGAACCCCTTCCTTCCCCCCAGCAGGCCATGCACATATCCTTTCATTAGCTGTAGTAAGAGGTTGGGGCACTGGAGAAGAGAATTGCAGCATTCCTATGCAATGTTACAAGCAGTTAAAACAAAAAAAAGGTACTCGGTCATGGTAAAATATAACCGATGTCCTCGTAAATATTTGCCACATCCTGGTTTGTCCTTGGACACTCAGCCGCTGACTGCTTCAATTTTGCCGTTCTTGCTGAAGCAGATAATAAAGACTGGCATTCTGGAGCTTCACTTGTAGCCTTAAAGGTTCACTTACCTGGAAGATTTCAAGCTTTTCTGCTGACAACGGAGTCTTGCACACCTGCATTAACCATGAAACATATTAGTCTTGAAATGTAACATGTGAAAGGGAGCATGTGCTACTTTTTGAGTATACCTGGTTTGATAGAAGTATAATAAATATTCATATAATGCTTCTGATCAGCTTGCTTCATATTCATAGGCTTGGGTCCTGCTATCCAGCTCCACTCTCAACAGAGCTTTCCTATGGGAGAAGAATCCTCTTGCCGGTGGAAAGCTCTGTTATCAGTGGAAACTGAGCCATAAGGATCCAAAACATTACCTTTGTGCAATCCTAACAAGCCTGTAAATTAGACTGGTGATATCGTCATAGTGTGGCAGATTTTTTTGGGGGGGGGGAGAGAGCCAAACTATGCCTTCTTTTCGACAAAGGCAAAATCTGAACCGGGGCCTCCTGGATCACAGCTTCTTCTGTTAGCTTCTGTGGTGAATTATTGTAGTTTGGACACCACAGAGTTCAATGGGACTCACTCCCAAGTTCAGATCTAGTTCTCATTGAGATGGTAAACCTGTGTCTGGGCTGTAGATCATCAGGTGAGCCTCACACAACTGAATTGCTCTTTCTTTCCTTTAAAAAAGGAATACTGCTGACACCTGTATTCCTTTAGGCTCATTTCTTCAGGGAACATGTTTTCCTTGACTGTCAGGGAGCCCTTAACCATTGCAGAGGACTTCAGGGGTATCTGGAGACATGCACTTGACCCAGTCTAGGTATTAGTTAGGCCTGCTGAGCTTCACCATCATTCTGTGTGAACAGGAAAGAAAAGATGGGCTGTTACTCTATAGGCACTGAATCTAATGTGGAGAGTCAATATGAGCAGTAAAAGCAATTCTGTGTGCAAGAGAACTTTGTGGTCAGTGTGTTATCTTAATGAGTGAGGCAAGAGTTTTCTGGACCACTGAATATCTGTTGGCCAGCAGTATCAGTCTCTTCACCTCACAGTTCTTACCTGCCCATTACCCTTTTTTGTAAATTTTGGTTGCTGTCCACATTCTCTTGAGATCTATGGCCAACCTTTTATGCATATGCGATGTCTATATAGGGAACTGTTGCATGCCATTACAGCCTTATGATGTGAAATGAGTACATGTAGGACTTTTCTGGGCTGATCTAGCTATTACTGGAACAAATGATACCCTGTTGGGTATAAGTGATGCATACTGGTCTGTTTTCTGAGGTTCTTCCTACTGGAGGAGAGTAGTTGGGAAAAACTATTTTGTAAAGGTACTCGTTCCTTTCAGACCGGATGGAGAAGGCAATATTCCACAAAAGTCAAATCTTGCCCTATTCTTTTGCAACAATGGATACCACATTATCGAGATACTTAAGGTAAATAGTGTAACTTAGCATATTAGTAACAAAGACTTGATGATTTCTCCCCCTCCCCCATCTATAGGACATCAATGCCTACAATAAAGATCAGCCCACAGAGAAGCTCCCCTTTCCAATAATTGCAGACTCCAAGCGAGAGCTGGCGGTTCAGTTGGGGATGCTGGATCCAGATGAGAGAGACAAAGACGGCATGCCTCTGACTGCTCGTGTTGTAAGTATCGGTGCTTCTCAAGCATTGTATTTCTGCAGGTTGAAACCAAGGTTCTGTGTATTCATGGTTCTCCTTATATCTTTCCCATGGTCTATTGCCACTTAATCAGTGGCAGTTTAGCATTGCCTTAGTAGAGAGAGATGCCAGAGTGAAACAGTATTGATATCCCTATGAAGTAGAGTAAATGGCTACTCAGTCCGGTAGTGGACCAATCAGACTTGCTTGTAGACTGAGAGTAGTATCTCTCTCTCCTCCCTGGTTTTAGGTGACCAGCTTTTCAGATAACAGCTTAGTTGTGGCCTCCTGGAAAACAATTCAGCAATACACTGTCTGTTTCCTTGCTTGTAAAATGTAAATAAGTACTTTGATGGCTTGCAAGGATGAATAGGGGAATGTCATGGCATACCTATCACTTCTCAGGAATCAGGCAGGCTATAAATCTTTAAAAAACAAGAAAAGAAAAACCAGAGAAGAGTAACTCTGTCCAGCATCCAAAGCCTTACAAAGTAGATTATACTAGAAACTGGGAGAGAGAGAGACTGAGATTAATTCAAGCTGGTAGCGGATAAAAACTCCATTCTAGTGTAACAAGACTGACCAAATGAGTCAATGGACAGATTGCAATGGAACTTTCCTGGTCACTTAGAGACAATGACTAGAAGGCTATTATAGTAAAACAAGATTTCTTTGTCTGTGACTTGCTAATCTGGTCCTCTGTGTTTTGTGGGTGCTCAAGACAAGAGATACAGTTTGCTAAGACATTTGCGCAAGCACCACTGAAATGAACAGAGGAGGTATTGCTAATGGATTTTCAGTTTTTATTGAAGTATCTTTTGCAGGGAACAACTGGTGCCTTTCAGGGATGGCTATAGTCCCTTTGAGATACTTTTCTGCTCCAGTTATCTTAAGATGTTTCTCTACTCTGATGCTGAAGCTTATCAGTAAAAGAATCTTGTTGTCTTCTTGCCAAATTGGGACCACAAACACAGGGCAGAGAATTCCACAGGACTCTTAAGGTGGAAGCCTGAACAGCAGTTACTGTAGAGTACCTGCATTAGAAAAGAAAAACGGTGCCCAAAATGTGCTTGTTCTTTGACCTGGAAAAACAACTGTGCCAAAGAGACAGACTTAAAACTCTAAAGGAAGATTACTGGACAGGACTGATCATAAAAGGAGCCATTATGGCATGACATGCTGGGTTTTCATTGTGTGGCTTTGCTTTTTAGGTATTCGTATTTGGTCCAGACAAGAAACTCAAACTCTCTATCCTCTATCCAGCGACCACTGGAAGAAACTTTGATGAGATTCTAAGAGTCATTGATTCCCTGCAGCTAACAGCTGCTAAGAAAGTTGCCACCCCAGTTGACTGGAAGGTAGATACTGTGGCTGATTCTGCATTGGCTTTTCCCTCTGTTGTTCTGTTCCACGTTGGAACAGAAATTCCCCTCTGCACTGCATGCTGCTTTCACTTCCGTTGATCATTGGATTTTATGGTAGCCTCCAGACTGCATGCCGCTTTGACTTTCTTTGATTATCGGATTTTATGGTACCTTCTGCATAGGTTTATGGCCATTTTATGGCCATTCAGGGGTGACTTTGCAGTCAGTACGGCATTGCCCAGTGTGGTTTTGAGCTGCACTCTCCCCCCCCCCCCCCACCCCACGCCGCGCAATGAACCGGTCCACTTCAGCCTCTTCTGCATCAGTGGTTGGGGCATACACTTGAATTACTGTGATGTTGAATGGTTTGCCTTGGGTTCTTTAAGGCTACTAACAGTGCAAGCCTAAACAGATTTAAACTCTTCTTAATCTGTAGGGTGTAACACTGTTTAGGATTTTACAGTTAATCTCTTTTTACAGTTAATTCTTCAGTTTGCTCAAATAAAATTCTTGTCAAAGAACAGCATGGTCCGAAATGTATGCACTGTGGAAAGTGAGTACATTTTAGTTTCTGATTCTGAGACGTAGCCTCCAGGTCAGATAGAATAAACTACACCAAGTAAAGCAAGGAGGTTAGCTGTCAGTCTCATGACTGTTATGCAGTTACGTGGTGCAACTGCCCTGGGGGCTGACTCCATCACTGGTGTCAGTGAAGGACGGTTACTAGCCCTTGCATTGAGAAAATGAAGATTAAAATGAGAGCCAGTTTGGTGTAGTGGTTAGGAGCATGGTAGTCTGGGAGAACCGAGTTTGATTCCCCACTTCTCCGCATACAGCTGCTGGTGTGATCTTGGGTCAGTCATAAATTCAGAGCTGTTCTCTCAAGGGCAGTTCTCTCAGAGCTCTCTCAGCCCCACCTACCCCACAGGGTGCCTGTTGTGGGAAGGGAAAGGGATTGTAAGCCTCTCAGAGACTCCTTCAGGTAGTGAAGGGTGGGGTATAAATCCAATCTCTTCTATTCTTCTTCTCTTCTAAAAACATGACCATATGCAATTTGGAGGATTTTCAGCTGCAGAGGCTTCCATATGGGTATGCTGAAGCAATCAATGTGAAAACTTGTAGTTGGGAGGATGATGCTTTGCCTTTCAGAAAAAGTAACATCCATTCATGGACTAAAGGTTCTAGACTTTCACTGTAAAATATGGAATGGACTATTAAGTCTTGCTGCTTAGTAAAGTTTTTTTCCTCTCTTCCACCTTCTCTTCTTTTTTAGCCTGGGGATGAAGTCATGGTAATTCCAAGCCTGTCGGATGAAGAAGCCAAAAAGCTGTTTCCAGGTGGAATTTGCACTAAGGAACTCCCATCAGGCAAGAAATACCTTCGCTACACTGCTCATCCAAAATAAAAAATAATAACTTTGAAGAAGGGTTGAACAGACCAGAAAGTTGGTCACTGGAGCTTTTTAGAACAAGTGATATAGCTGCCTTGTGTGAAGATGTGTTTGGAGAAATTGTTAAAGATGGAATAGTTGAAAGCATTTTGTTTAGCTTCTCCTTGGAATGTGATGCCTGAATGTCTTTGGCCTGGTGTAGTTTCAGCTACTTCTCAAGTCAAAGCTGCTTCTCTTCTTCTTTGTGATCAGACGTCTGGGTTTTGGTTGTGAGCAGAGTCTGCAATAATGTACTAATGGACAGTTAATTATTTACTTTTAACCCTTCAGTTTTCTGTTCTTTGGTCACATAATCTCTTGTGTCCACGGTATTAAAAACTTGTGAATGGAAGCTAAATTCTCTTGCTGCCAAATGTTTCCTGGTTGAGCAGAGAAGAATCTCAATATTGTTCCAATATAGCCATGCACTTTATTTTCTTTTTTAAAAAAGAAGGATGTGAGGGTTCACCAGCGAAAAATTAAGCTGCATTTTTTTTCCACAGTGGGAAGTTTGTTCCATTAACCATGTGCCTTTATTGCAAAGAAATTAACCTTACTACAAAGAAGTGAACCGACTGTATTAGTTAAAATCTGTCATGGAAAGCTTGTGTTCGTTATACCAGTGTTGAATGAGAGATGTGAAGAAGATAAGCTTTACTGAACAAACATTTATCAACTGTTCCAGTATCTTTAACTTTTTGGTCATACTCCTTCAATCAGAAAATAAAGTTAGCCTCTAACATGCCTGCTGTTCCTGTGTCTTCTGTTTGTTCATGTATATGAATGAGCCATTGTGCATCTTAAATTGCATATTTGTGTACAGTTGCTTAGGTTAAGGGGACAAAGTACAAGGTGGAAATCCTACAGGTCATCTAATTGAAAAAAGTGCCCTAGGAATTTGAAAAGCATCAGTATGAGTTGGGGTATGCAAAACCCCCCAACAACCATGGTATTTTTCAGGTTTGGGTATATTGAACCCCCAAAATATCAGTATTTCCTGATATCGCTGAATCCCAATACCGGTATGGTATTTGGATTTGGGAAAACCTGAAAAAAAAATTTGGCTCTATTATACTCTATGGGGACCATTATGTATTTATTACTTCTTATTGTTTTTGCAACCAGAGTCATAAACAGCAAATGGGGACCATTATATTCAATGGTCTCCATAGGATATAACAGAGAATCTTGATCGGGAATATCTGGGGCTCTTGGGAGGGGCTGTTTTTTGAGAATTAGACATTATTTAAAAAAGATTGGACCAGGGGTCCAATTCTATGGGGCCCCATTCTTCATTGATTGTAATGGACAGGGAAAAGGCATTTAAAGGCAATGTGGCACCACCAGGACCCACTTTAACCATGTGTCCTGGTATGATACTGAACTGTTTGGGTGGGATGAGTGGAGATCAGTGTTCCCTCTAAGCTGAGTTAGTGTGAGCTAGCTCACAGTTTTTTAGCCTCCAGCTCACAAATTTTTGTCGTAGCTCAGGAAGGATGGCTCCAGAGCAAACTAATTTATGCAGTAGCCAAATCACTCACTCACAACTTTAATGCTGGTAGGTCACAACGTAGAATTTTTGCTCATTAGACTCCACAGCTTAGAGGGAACATTGGTGGAGATAATGTCTAATTCTCATATTCAACACTGCCTGTGCTTTAAACCTTACCCATGAAGCTGCCTGCTACTGAATCAGACCCTTGGTCCATCAAAGTCAATGCTGTCTACTGCAACTTGCAGTGGTTCTCCAGGGTCTCAAGCAGAGGGCAACTTGCAGTGGCTCTCCAGGGTCTCAAGCAGAGGTCTGTCACATCACTCACTGCCTGATTCTTTCCACTCGAGGTGCTGGGGATTGAACCAGGGATCTTCTGCATGCAAAGCAGATGTTCTACCATTGAGCCTCACCCCCTTCTCTTAAGCTGTATGCCAGTAGGTTAGATTTATCAAATACCATTTTGCTCATTTGCAGATAGTACTGGTAGCTGAGTACCAAAGGAGATCTGCGATGGTATTTCTACTGCCACCATCCTTGGGGGGGGGGGTACTTCAGCCACACAGAGCCACGAAAGTGCTTGGGGTACTGAACCAGTCTTCCCCTTGGTGGGAAAGCAGCAATTTAGATCAGGGGAAATACCAAAGCACAGCTTCCTGATCAAATTAGCAACCTCATGCCTGGTCCACTGAAGAAGAGGTTTTTATACCCCACTTTTCTCTACCATAAGGAATCTACAAGTGGCTTACAATCGCCTTTCCCTCCCCACAACAAGCACCTTGTGAGGTAGGTGGGGCTGAGAGAGTTCTGACAGAGCTGTGACAGGCCTAAGGTCACCCAGCAGGCTTCAAATCCCGTTCTCCACATTAGAGTCCGCTGTCCTTAACCTGATACCATACTGGCTGAAGTGTGCGTGAAGGGGATGTAATCTATAGGTCTAACCATAGGTCTGCCACATGTTGCATCTAGGGAAGGAGTGGTTGAGGCAGGGAGCTAGTGTATTGGGAATGGGGGCAGGAAGGAGGAATGTTTTTAATTCTGCAAGCTGCTATGAAGACCCTGTGGTCAAAGTGACAGAGATCAAATAAAATAGCTAACCTCTAACTTTCTTTGCAAAAGCAGAAAGCATATTTCAGAATCAGCAATTACATGGGTAACTTGGGAAGCATGATATGAGCTGGGTATAGCAGTGTAAACTGGGTAAGAAATCCAGAGGGTTTGGTAATCTGTGCAATCTCAGTATACAACTACCTGCATTAATTCACAGGCATACATTAAGGTATAAACAGATACCTCTTTTTAGCATTTGTATGTTTTGCGAGCTGTTGGGGCAAAATGAAATTCCTAATTGCGAATTTGTTTTCTAGAGGGAGAAGTTGGGAAAGGTCAGTATCTCAGACTTCCAGATAACTGTGGGGTAACAGCTTCTTCAGAGAGTTGAAGAATACTTGATGGATCATGATTCTTATGTGATTTACATTGGCTTCTATACAGCAAGCGTTGGGTTTGTTTGTTGTTGTTGGGGTTTTGGTCCCTCATTCTCAAGAAGGAAAAATCACAAGGTCAGCCAATTGGAAAATGTGGAAGAACAAGACTTGCGTCCAATGGAACCTTACCAACAAGACTTCCAGGGCATAAGCTTTCAAGAGTCAAAGCTCACATCTGGAAAGCTTGTTGGTCTTTCAGGCGCTACTAGACTCTATTATTGTACTGCAGACCAACATGGCTACCCACCATAAATTATTTTCATGGAGAATGTGGATAAAATGGATTAAGCCACATTTCCTGTATTTTTCTCTTTTATAAATCCTTTGCTTTGTTGGATCCTCTCCTTGGTTTTTATGTCGCCTGGGCCACAGCCAGCAAAGAGCACTTAACCATTCAAACCCCACTTAAATATTCCAGCATGCAATGGAGGGGTTTGGGGATTAGCGCAAAGGTATGCACATAACGCTGCGGTGGCTCAAGTGGTTAAGACGCTGAACTGCAGGCTGTGGAAGGTCAGTAGTTCAGCAGTTCGAGATCCGGGTGCCGCATGACGGAGTGAGCTCCCGTCTCTAGTTCCAGCTCCTGCCAACCTAGCAGTTCGAAAGCAAGAAATTGCAAGTAGATAAATAGGTACCACTTCGGTGGGAAGGTAACAGCATTCCATGCGCCTTGGTGTTTAGTCATGCTGGCCACATGACCACGGAAACATCTTCGGACAGCGCTGGCTCTTCGGCTTTGAAACGGAGATGAGCACCGCAACCCTAGAGTCGGATTCGACTGGCTTTCGAGCAACGGAACCTTTACCTTTTACCTAGGCACATAACAGATAAGCTGGTTTGTTTTTCTGTAACATCTCACACATAAGAACATAAGAGATGCCAATGTTGGATCAGGCCAAAGGCCCATCCAGTCCAACACTCTGTATCACAGAGTGGCCAGAAATACCAGTGCCATCAGGATGTCCACCAGTGGGGCCAGGACATTAGAAGCCATCCCACTGTTGACCCCCCAAAGCACCAAGATGACAGAGCATCACTTGCCCCAGAGTCCCTATCTATACCTTGTGGCAACATTTTAATGATTTGTTTACATTGGCAGCAATTCCTTGCTCACATTAAACAATTCAGACACCGTGTTCTTTTTACCTTTTTACATTGCATGACAAACATTTCAACTATGGGAATGTCAAATGCACGTCTATAATGGAAAGAGATGGCACCTGTGATGTAATGCCCCTTTAACGGGAGCAGTCTCCCAGCACAGGTGTAAGCTGTAATGCCTAAAGTACTTATTATCCTGGATTTGGTGGGAGCCAGCATGTTGCTGATATCTGGCTCTGGTTCTGAGTTTAGCCCCTCTAGCAGGGGCTCATTCGAGATGTTAATACACTAAGTTGCTTGTTCCTTTTGACGCCTGACTATTATTTGGGTACTATCTACGGTTAATACTGAATGTTACAGTAACTGTGCAGGACATTCAAATCAGTCCAGTGCCAGCGTTGAGGTGTAGTTCTGTGATCCCTTTTAGGACAGTTTACAGAGTGTGGCTTTTGAGCCTGCGATTTAAGGGGAGGATCAGCACAGGCAGACTAGGTATTTTAACTCTTTCCCCTGCTAAAAATAGTTCCCTTCGAGTTGTTTTTGATCCCTACTGGAGAAAGCTTAAGTGTAAGAGTTCCCTGTTGGGTTAAATGTTCCCACTCACTGTACCAGCCTGTCCTTGTAAACTGCAACCCTGGTAGCTTCATATTATAAAATAAAATGGGTTGGATCCTATGGAGTGCCAGTTGTTGATTCTAGATTCAGGTGGGTAGCTGTGTTGGGCTGAAGCAATAGAACAAAGTTTGAGTCCAGTGGCACCTGTAAGACCAACAAAGTTTGTTCGGTTGTTGATTCTGGCAGAGTTGGAGCTCTCCTGTCTACTTTCCTCTAGCAGCTGCCTATGTGTTAAAAAGGCCATGGCAGGGACTGGTGGACCTGCAGGGAATGAAAGCCATGCAGAACTGGCTACTTCAGTAAAGAGAAAGTGGTCAAAACCACTACTAACCAGCGGATCATCTTCTACTAACAGAATGCCCTTTTGCCATTGGAAAGGAGGCATAGGATCCAACGCAGTGTCAGCAAAAAGGACTGGAAGCTACACTTCGGACCCAATCTGCTATGAATTTTTAAGTTAGTCTCTAGTGCTTTTCTAGCTGGGAGACTATTAATTTCCATAGAGACTTTCAGAATCAATAGAACATGGAAAAGGAGAGATGATCCAATACAGTGGTACAGTCTTACACTGTTCCTATTGCATTGTTAAATTTTGTAATCCACCTTGTATCTCAGTGGGAAAGGTGGACTATAAGTAAATTAAATTAATTAATGAACTGTAATACATGGCCCATGTTTACACTGCTCTGCCAAAGAAGAAAACTGCAGGCAAATGGGCTCTGAAAGGCAAGGCTTATTTGCTGCTTCAGCTCCTTATTTTCTTTCATCCATGGAACTCAAGGCAGAGCACATAGACCCTACAAAGCAGGGCAGAATGCGTTTTTGTGGGGTTTTTTGTCAAATTGTGTGGTACTTACAGGACTGTAAGATTATGATACCTTTCAGTGAAGTTTACAGAATGTATTTCCCAAAGTATGGGGAAATGTGAACTTCCCCCCCAAAAAAATTAGTTTAGAAGTTTAAAGGGGCATATGTGGCATTATAGACTGCTTCCAAAATCTTGGTTTATTTAGGATTTGGATTCAAGGGAGACATCATGACAAC